TTTATTTTTACAATGTTGCTTTATTTTGCAGATGAACATAGTAGAAACAAAACTGATTTTTTTCAATACTATACACTCATAAACACACACTCATTTAAGTGTGCATTTATAATATCCACATGTAAATATATCTAATGCCATAGATAAGGAAATTAGGATGTGGTTTCCTAAATAAAATACTTAATTTTGCAACATATGATAATTATTCTAATAAACACTCTCAGCCCATATTCTTCTGCAGAATTCTTCAGCAAATGCTGTGATTAACCATAGAAAGCATTCAAAAAAATCAGGAAATAAATTAATTGGTGCTGATTGTATTGTATGCAATGATGACAGTCTTACTGCACTTGAAGACTGCCAGGTTCCTCCCTTCCCCCAATAAAATCATGCAGTTTTACTCAGTAAAAATCCTTATTTCTGTATTACTGTAACAGTAAACTCCAGTATTCTTTAGAGCATACATTAGGAAGATTTCTCAACAGAAAAGGAAATTCTATCTTTAACATATTCTGTATGTGTGGATTTCAGTGTATTTGCATTCTTATAGACTCATGAGATGAATTCTTTTATTTTATTTGAAACCCTTTCCTTAAAGCAAGCATTTGTATTTTTAACTTTAGGTAAGGTTCTAAACATTAGCATTTGTGTGCATTTCATTCAGCCTACCTCATCATTTTCTTGTTTCATGCCCAGGGCTTAGCAGTTGGAGTTTAAAAACAGCCAGCTTTAATGTCTATGACTGACATGTAATTTCTGCTTACTTTAAAGCTTTTTTTTTGCTAACTTTGCCTTTTTTAAAATTCTTTCCTGTCCATAATCACAAAGCTACATAAGCTCTTTTGTGGCTTAATAAATATTGTCAGTTTTTTAAAGCTCAGTGTGGTGTGTATTCTTCTTCAAAGATAGTTATTAAGCATATAAAAAGAAGCTTGTTAAATTTGTAGACTCATTTTTTTTATTATTCCTACTTCTTATATTTAAATGAGGAAAGATAATCCATTAAAGAGGTTGAACTGTCAAAAACACTGCCATATCTATAATTAAGTATAACCTTCCTGGGTTTAAATAACATTATCAACAAAAGCCTCTAAATTTGAAATTAAATGCTCTACCTTCCATTAACATTATTGTTTTCTTGGAAACTCAGAGATGTGAATGCAAAGGAGGTATTTAGCTCACAGCTATGACATATCTCCCATTTTTTAAAGGAAACAATAACGAGAGACATTCCTTTTTGGAAAATATATATACCTTAGATTACATGTTTAATGACAAGCATATTTCTTAGTTCTGCAGAATTATTACTGAGAATACGAGTTAAAGGACCCAGCAACACATCTGTGCACTCAACTTTGCTTCTTATTTTGTGATGAAGTAAACAATTCTGAAAAATCTAGTGGAAGCAGTATTCCATGTCATAGTTCTTAAAAAGAAACTTATCATTATAGCTGGAGAGGGAGATTTGCCTCACTCCCAAAAGTTTGCTCTTTTTTTAAGAAAAATGTTTCTCATAGCACTTTAGAAGTTTCTGTAAAATAGAAGACATACATAACTGAATTATTTATTGCATAGGTTTTGCTATTATTCATTTGGAGTGCCTGGCAGAGCTCATTCATTATTTGCAATGTATCTGAGTTTTAGATTAATATGAACATGATTTTAATGAATCTGTTGGAATTTTTCCTGCCATGACCCTTACCACCTCACCGCACGACAGAATGTGTGTGAATAGCTACCTGCTGAGACATACACATCGCAAGGCAAACAAAATACAAAAGCCAGCACCTGTGAGCTTCATAGCTCATCCTTCTCACACTGCAGACAGCTGATAATGGATCTTCATGGGGCAACCTGAAGCTATTTGATTTGAGGACTTCATACATCCTTTCTTCTCTTTCCTACACAATCCATTTACTTAGTATATGTTTAAGATTTCTTTTTTTTGTAAACTATTTCACACAGAGTAAAAATCACTAATATTGACTTGTCTTATGACTGATAAGGGACCATTTAATCTGAAAATTTGTCACAAAATATTTCAAACAAGAAAATGATGGAGGACAAAAAATAAATGAGTTGCAAAGTATTTCAACTGAAGCTGGAAAAGAAAATTATTAGAAAACACTCACTGTCTATCAAGATTTTCCTCAAAGCCCATCCTGCCCTCACTGAATATTTAAATGAGATTGTTCAAGTCACAGAAATAGTGATGCAAGACCTGCTAATGTAGTAAATTGTCCCTTCCAATTTGAATTTCCTTTACTGCATGAGGAGTTTCATCTTGTTTCTGATTTACCTATTATTTTAAAAGAAAGTGTGGAAATGAACCTTCAGAAATTTAACTCTCATTTTATATTTAAGTCCAGTTAAAATGTATTAGCATATTTCATGGGTAGTACCAGGCACTAATCAGACTAGCTATCCTTTGAAATTCTCATGTTGTGTTGTGTTGTGCTTTGTTTTTCTTTTAAAGTAGCTGTAGGGCTTATAATGGTGTATACTGAGAACATATTTTTTATTTGTTCAAATACAGTAGAATATAGTACTATAAGTAGTTGGTGCAAGAAACTAATTTCCATAAGCCTCTATACTATCATTATGTTTAGTATATCATATTTGTGTGAAATTGTAGAAAATTTTGAATTTAAATAACAGTGTTTATGAGTAGGAAAAAATAAACTATTTAATTTAAATTAAATCTTAAATTATAAAGTTACCAAACCATCTACTAAAACACTAAATATTAAATACGTAATTCTTAATACTAAAACAACATCAAATATACTTTTCACAACTTAAAGAGCCCAGCTGCCCATCTCAAACACTGTCAAGGCCTCAGAAGGATCTTGTCATAAGATAAGCCACCACAGCAGGTATTTGAGATAAGCACAGAAGGGAGGCATTTGCAACAGAGAGGTGTTAATTCCAGGCCTGGCAGAGGCAATTTGGTTAGCACACCCTGCTTAATGCATCCAGACAAAAATTCCCACTGTGACAAACTGTGGGAGAGGAAGCAATTGTCCATAGATATATCATCCCAAGATTTGGCCACCCCATGGATACTGTACCCTGGTCTGTATAAAGCCACAGAAAAATGTCTCTGGGGCTCCCACCACTGAGAAATCCAGGGTGAAGAAGGACCAAGGGACACCTTGGACCTACAGCTGTTGCTCTGCTTGGTCTCCTTCTCCCCCCAGCTTTTCTATTTCTTTCTATCAATCTACCTCACACTCATTGTTAAATAAAATCCATATTATTGACTGTGGCATAGGCCTATCTGCACTTAGTTTGGGCAGAGGCATGTCTTACTAATCGGATTGTAACATAACTTAAAATAAAATACATTAAAAAATCCAGGGAAAACCTTCAAACTCACACTTCAGAGCACACCTTCATACTACAAACTGAAAAAGTACAGAAAGAGCTTTTTTCCCTACTACACTGACTCATCACTTCTAAGGCCACTGCAACTGTGGTTTTTTATCTAGATAGAGAATTTAAGCTGCTTCTACAGCTCTTAATAATCTGTTTAACTGGCTTTTTGGCAGCAATATTAAACCCAGGCACAATGCTACTCTCTCCATCCTGCAAAGGTGAATAGGATGGTCCATCTTCAGGCACATTAATAATAATACTTACTCTAGGCTGTTCACGCACATCAAGACAAAATAATCTACACTTTTTGTTTATTTGTTTTGTTAAAGCATAAAGAAAACTTTCCTCTGTGAAGTCCAATGATCTGATTTAGGAACAGCAAAATAGACTGGGATGTTATTGCTGTACAAAACATTTCACAGTTTGGTGAGTGCACATGTACATGTGTGTTTCAGATGAAGGTCAGCCTGCCAAAGCACCTTGCCCTCAATGATCTTCTGAAGTCCATCCAGCAGTCAGGCTTATCTAGTTCATCTAACTTGTCTCTGAAGTTTTGCTAATGATCTCTACAGTCCTGAATAATTAGTCTTGATCATTTCAGATGATGTTCCTTTTTCTTTCAAGGTTACAATTAAAATATATTAAGACTTTTTTGCTCATGTTTTTAAGTGACTTTTCCTGAACTGATAGCATGCTAGCTAAAAAAATGAACTTATTCCTTACTACAAGTTTTGAACCTCTACTGATAAGGAGCTTGCAAGTATTTTGAAAAGTCAAGATAAGCTGGAAAACAGAAATAAAAATATAGATGTCACAATCTTCACGAAAGGTTATGAAAACAGCTTCTGTCAGTTACTAGTCAGTAGCAGAATGGCTGTATTACTAATCCCACAGCATGACCTACAGCATGCGGCAGGAAAATCACAGCACATCAAAACGAATAGGACCAAATATAATAAGAAGCTCTGATTTCATACAGTAAAATTATTTATGGAGAAGTTATATTGTACTGAAGATTTTTTTGTGCACTGTATTCCTAAGAATTGGATACATCTTATGTTTAAAAAAAAACATGCTTGGTCTTTGATGGACAATTTTTTTCAAAAAATTGATCAGTGGTAGATGAATTATCATCAAAAACCTGATGCAGCTTTGAGTAGGGGAGAACGCTCCACCTTTTCCTCATTTCCCAGTGTCTGTGTTTCAGCCTGTTCCAAAATATTTCTTTGGAAAAAACAAAGAAAGATACTTCACTTATTACATTGCATTGATAATGCAATTGTAGCAAAACTAGATCTGTTTCCTTCCACTAAAATGCAAGGGATAACTACTACTTACTTATGCAATGAAGTTGAAATCAAATAAATAATTCCTGTTATTGGTCTCCCAAAAAATATAACAGTTTTAATATATGGTGTTAGGGCTCCTGCTGTGTTTCTCTGAGGCTTTTTCATACCAGAGAATGAACAAAACTCTATTATGGAATCAAAGTAAATAACATCCCAGATATTACTTGTTGTCCCCCCGAAACAAGAAGTTATTGTAGCACAAAATAATACAATTTATTTTAAATAACAGAAGATAAAAATGAAGGGGAAGTGGAATAAAGTTCACTGACCTTTTTCCACAGTTTTCATCATTCTTCTGATTTATGGTAAAGATCAATGGTAAACCACATGTGGTTTAGTTACATCCTCTGAAATTGTTTGAATCTGTAGGAGATAAATAAAAAAAATATCAAGCTCAGAACTGTGAAATGTTCACTTTGTCTAAAGATCATTTCCATATTTAATCAGACTGCAGGGATGATTTTTAAAATGTCATGGATTTTTCAGATTGACAAGTTTCTTCACATTAGAATGTCTTCCCTTTTAGAGTGAAAAATCTGTTGTTTTCCTTTCTTCAGCTTATCTCCTATAACTTGATTTATTATTCAGCATTAGCTGCCAAAGCAGTACAAGGGCTTTATTTGGAATGAAGCTGAGTATGGACGTGACAAGTTTTCTGTTCCCATTGTTTTGCCCGAATAAGTCCTGAAAAGTTCCAATTTCCTCTCTGTGCATTGGCTCTTGAGGCAGCAAAAACACACACACGGATGGGAAGGAAAGCCTTTGAATCTACTGAGAACAAAGAAATGAAACACATTTGAAAAAATAGCCAAACTTCCACTGACAGGATGAGCCTTACAGATTATTCTAAGTGTGGATTGTTTAACTTCTGAGGGAGTGTTTCTCTTTCACACTTTTTCTAATAAGTAAAAGAAACTTTCCCAGTAAGTTAATGGAAAATGTCTGGAGGCCAGCTGAAATGGTGGATTCCTCAAATTTTAACTTTCAGAAAGAATTGAGGAAGAGGGAAAATAGCTATTACATTCCTGAGTCCCTGTAAATTAATTACAGTAAAAATCATATAACATTTGTTTAAATTATGCTTTAGGTAATTTCAATCTGAGCGTTGGTGCCTTTAAGAATTAACTATTCATGTGCTGGTTTATATTCTCTATGGTTTGCTAACAAACTTAATGGTTTCCAAGAGTATGTAAGAAAAAGGGAGAAGTTGAGAGTAACAAGTTGTACATAAACATAAGTGTGATGTTTTTAGCCTCATCAATAATGGGAACCTGTTGATATTTTAAACAATTATCTAATTGGTAAAACGAAGCATTTGAAAGCATAAGAAAATGTTAATGCTAATGAAACATGCAAACATGAAAATGCTAATGAACATGCAAACAAAAGAGTCTAGGAAATTTCATGTTTGGATTCCTATTTGCCCTTGTGTTCAAGTATCTTTAAACTGAAATTATCTAAGGGTTTCAGCTTTCAAGCCTTTCATTTTCTCTCCAGCTTTAAAAACATCTAAAATTTTGTTGTATCTGGAACCTGCAAAGGTTTTTATTTTTTTTTTTTCCTCTGAGAAAAGTTGTCTGAATTAAAACATTTAATGGAATTTATCAACTGCTCTAGCCTATAAAACCCAAGTGTGTGTTCTTTTATTAGAGAATCATAAATGTTGATACCATTCACCTACAGAGTAATATGAAAGCAATAAACTGCAGCTATTCCTTTCCCTTTCAGCTATTTCCAGGAGACCATAATAAGCAGAAAATAAGCATTAGTAAATTTTAATACCCTATTTTATTTTTTATTCAAATTAAATTTATCTTAATAGAGAAATATTTTATTTATCTTTTTTTCCCAGCTACTTTGAGTAAAGAAACATTTTTGGAAGTAGACCTCTCATGAGTTCTCCAGAATTAGTTTAAGAAATGTGAAGCTGGATAAAAGTGAGGGTTTCTCCCATTCACTGTATTTTTAATATGCAATTCTTCTCAAACTGTCTGAAGAATGATCTATCAAATTGAATAGCTGATGCACTTTGAACATTTAGCTCCAAAAGATAGATGACATTTTTTTCATTAGTTTAAAATTTATATGCTACAGTATCTGTCACAATAATAATAGAATCTGACAGTGCAGATCATATGGGTATTCCGCACAGCAGAGGTAATGTGTTCTTTGGAAGATAAAATGACAATTTGTTCAAATCATAGATTTTTAAATTTTAGACAAACAAGGTAGCTCTCACTCTATGTAACTCATTCTTTTAGAACAATTTCTTTGCTAACAATACTATGGCAGGATTCAGACCACCCACATTTTGTCTCTGTGGGAGTTTAACAGACTGTAGATGTCCAAGAATATCATCAGGAAAGCCTGCTCCACAGTGCTGTTTACCTCAGAGGCACAGGAGGTGCTGCTCTGAGCAGCCCTCTATTTCCCATGATCTCTAAACATCAGCTTTAGCCTATGCCCAAAACCACCCTCTGTCAGCAAAGGAGGGCCCCTGGCTCCTTCATCCTTATCCAGGGGGTCCAGCATGATACGAATGCTAAATACCTTCACCTCTTTCACAGAGACAGGGTGTTATTCAACGCAAAGCTCAGCAGTCATAACAACTTTTATTTTAAAAAAGCCCCAGCATATTGATGGAAGAAGAGCAAGGTGGATTTCCTTTGAATAACAAATAAAAGGAAGGTCAGGCTGCTAGGAACTGTAAGATCTATTATCACTGCCTGAAGGACCTTAACTATAACTCCCTTTTCCTGTCTCACCAAATTATATTTATTATTAGTACTAGTACTATTATTATTATGTAGCCAGGATCACAAAAATCCCAGAGACAGAACTAAAAAGAAAAATAAAAGAGTTTTTTTTTCTCCATTATCTAGAATTTAAGACATTTGGTGATTAAAATTTTGACAGACTGATTAGCTCTACTGCTATACCTTAACGCAGCAACCTGAGCTGAGATTTGCATATGACATTTGCATCTATTTACAAAAGCTGTTTTGTTTGTACACACCTAAACATCATAATTTATCAGTCAGCAATTACTGTAGAGTACCTGTTAGGGTTTTCACACTCTGTATTCTCTTATCTAAAATCAACATGTCTGCAAAGTAATATTATTCTAATAATTTTAAAGTAAAATCTCATTTGGTTGTTCTTCCTGCTACACCTCTCACATCCAGCCCCAGATACATATCTTGAGCTTGGTGAAAAGCAGGTGTGACTGTGAAAGGTTCTTTTCCAAAGGCTTGAACCATTTTGTCCACAAATGAAATGGTACCCATGGCAACCCTTAATGCAAATGTATAAAGGCAACTTCCGATTCAACAGTGGTTGAAATTAAAGAAAACATTGCATTTTAACAGAGGATTTCCCTAGGTACCGGAGAGATTTGACAAACTCTCTGTTTGACAAACTGTACTATGTTGCATCACAGTCTCTGGTTACTATTAATTTTATCTGGACTTGTGCTATTTCAATTTTCCAGAAAGGACAACTGTCGTACTTAAATCAAAATATCTTCCCCAGCTGGCCAGTTTTCCCTGACATTTTTCTAAATTTATTTCTGATAAATTTGTAGTCCTGAGCCAAATGATTGATACCACTCTTTAAAAAAATATGCATGATTGTTAGGCAATAATTTTAACTTCACAGCAGGGTATTTTATGGATACGAAATAAGCCCCTGCTGTGCTCTAAAATTCACAGGGTGAGAGTCTCAGCTCCTGTAAGCCCAGATGTACTTTTGAAAATGATGGATCTGTACTATCTTAAATTACTTACAGATCTATCCCAATACAACAAAGACAGAGAAATCTTCAAGGAAGCTGTACTTGCCAACTCTGTTTGAAAGACTTTTCCAAATATTTATAAATACCTCTTTTCTTTGCTTTCCAGCTAAGACTGGCATGTGACTTTAATCAATTGGACTTCAGTAAACTTCACACCTCTGTTCTGTAGTGGTCTGTTAAGCTGTTAAGGCTTGTGGAGCTTTGTAGGTTTTCAGATAGGCTGTTTTTGCTGACAGCAGCTGATTCCAGTGTGCAGTAGCTCCATATAAAGGAATAACTCAGGCCTGAGGGAATAAAGTAGACGAGTAGATTTTAATAATGCTGTGAACAGTCTTAAAGAGAATTGAATTGTTTAAATATGAACACGGCTTTAATATTTAGCAAAGGGTCCAAATATTCCCATGGCTAATGTTATACAACACCCTACAGGAGGTTTTGGAGATCTGAATTGCCCTTTAAATCCCTAAATCACCTGAATGGGAAGGATTGTCCATGTTTAGACAATCTAAACAATTAGATAGTAGTTCAGAGGATGTCTAAGCCAAACCTCACTGTATGCAGAAGAAAAGGGAATGGGTGATATCCTACCCTCATCTGGGCTTAAAACTGAGACTGAGATTCACAGTCCAATATTGCTCTATTATTTACAAATCAATCATGATGGCAGCAAGAACCCTTTTTTTTCCAAATTAATTTTTATTTTTTCACTTACTTCATTGTACCTTTAGGTGTTCCTCCAGGATATAAATAACGTCTATTCTAGTCCCCCATCAGTTTCAGAGTGGTCTCAAAATACCAACCCAAATACCTTAGGAAAGATGTTCTGTCCACAAAATCGTGGCTTATTTGAACAGCAGCAACCCACATGAGAGATCTTTCTGCATCCTTATAGGTGAGACTGTAGCACGAGGCAGAAAGGATGTGTAAGGATATCTAAAGCAGAAAGGCTACATAAGGATATATAAGCCAAGCAGCCAGCAGATGTACAAGAGAAAATTGAAGATTTCCAGACATTAAGCTGTTCTCAGACAGGAAGGGTGAATCAGGTTCAATTGTTCTTTTGGGGATGGCCTATTAATCCTTCAGCATTAAGAATCACTAAATAAAATGCACAAGTGGTCTAAAATTCAGGATGCTTTGTCCCCCAGGAATATCAAACACTCAGAGTAGAAGGCTTCTAATCTTACAACTCCATTTTATGTCCAAAAGATTGGTCTCTGGAGCTTTCTTAGACTGCAGATGCATTAGAGAACTGATCAGGACTTGGACACAAGCTGTAGGTATGGCTTTACTTACTGTATAAGTAAGTATAGTCAATGTATAGTCAAATGTATGCATGGACAAATAGAAATCTTCAAAAAAATGCCAATGAAATATCTAGGGAACAGCATGGACTGAGGACTGTTCCTAGCTGAGGGAATTTTCCCAGTATCCATGATGGCAACCCTGTTTTGGAGAGCATTTATTGAAATTATTATAACCTGAGTCATATAAGTTTTAAGGAGGGAAAGGAGTTCTCTGTCATCTCTTTCAATGTCTAAGTCCATAAAGCAAGGTTGTGGAGGTAGTGGTAATGCACATAGTCATCTGATTTTCACATCAATTATCCTTCAGTTACAGGAGTGTCTCAAAAGTACACAGCATTTTGTCTCAAAAATACATTTATAAGCCTACAATTAATAAAACTTCCTCAGTAGGAATGAGAAGACTTTTATACACTGCGACACAAAGTGTCTGTGGTTTGAAAGTTTTCATGAATTATAACCTTATTCTCAAAATATTTTAAAACACTATGTCCAATAAGATTTCCTAGTATGCATAGTTTTATACATATTATACAGATAATAAGTTCAGCTTGAATTTTTCTGCTACTGTTTTGAAAATACAAGTAATCATACAGGTCATGATCTCTGGGTTTAATTAGGTGACCATACTGAAAACATTTTATAAAAAGACATAGATAAATAAAACAAGGTCAAAACACTAACTCATTTTCCAGGGGAGAAATGTCCTCTGTGCAATTTTTGCTAGCAAGGCACTAAGGTTGCAATAACTTTTACCAAAAGGAGTTACAACAAAAGGCTGTGAACTGGAAGAAAGATCTTACAAATGTGATACACAATTCTAAAGAGAAAAATCTAAATTGCTTGTAATTTGGCTATCTGATAACGTTGTATATGATTTATCTTTTTGTTGCAGCTGGAATCAACTGTGAAGGTAAGCTGCTGAGGAAGCAATTTACTAACCTAGTTTATTCCCATTAGACAACACTGCCTTATAATGAGTAATGGGAAAACAAGTCTCATTTTTTATGCATGATGAATCTATTTATGTAGCCTTTACAGACCCAAAAATATATAACTGCATCTATGAATACTGTACAGTCAATTCTGTTTTAATTTTTATTAATCTAAGCTCCTATGTTTAAAATAAGTGTTACCAGTAGTTTTTACAGCAAATCCTTGAAACGCGGCCTAAATTTACTAAACCTCACACTCAAATACTTGAATTTCATGTTTTCTTTGTTGGACAAGTCTTAAGTAAATACTTCATCATGAAAAATATTGCAAGATTTTCTATTACGTGAAAAAAGTGAATCTATCAAGTGGAAAAAGAAACAGCAGAAAGCTCAGAATGAGCTGTCCCTTGGAACAACTTGGCTTTTCCAATTGTTCAAAGTTTGAGGACTTTCTAAACTAGAAGTTGTGCCTCTGTTTACTAGCTACACGTGTACTATCCTCCCTAAATCTGTCTAATCTTTTTTCTAATATAATTTCCTTTTGACATTCACAATACCCCAGCATAATGAGTTCTACAATTTCAACACTAGAGATAAAAATTCTACAGCAATGTGCACAACTTGTTAAATATGAATACTTTTTTTTTTTAATTTGGAAGTACAAGGACTGTCCAGAAGGTCTACACAAGGCTTGTGCACATGCTCACTTTTCTTGATAAAGAACAGGATGCTCAGACAAGAACTGGGAAAGGAAAGCAGAAGAGAGAGACCAGCAATAAATATTTAAATGTAGAGGGTGATCTGGAAAGAGAGAAAATCTTGTAGGATGATTCAAAAGCTTTACTTGCATGTAAAGAGACTTGTTGAACCAGTCTGTCAAGCAGGCTGTCTAAATGTCCTTGTTATAATTCCAGCCTGGAGGCTGGAATATCGCCCACAGGGCATGTGTTTGCACCTCTTGCCTTCCCCCAGGCACTTACACAAGTGAGTTATGTAAAGATTTAAGGGAAAGTCTGTTTATGCTCCTTTTCATACCATTCTTTTTCACAAGTGAGAATATTTTGTTACACAAGATAGAGTTACAGAGCTGGGTGATAGCAGGATGAAGAATGTAACGGCAAAATATGGGCAGTTGAGAACGGTTCAGCTAAGATCCAGTAAATGCAGGCAATGAATAGAGTATATGTCAGAAGGCTGCCAAAAATGGCAGAATCTTAGAGAGGAAAGGTCTGTCTCACACAATCTGCCTAGGGGACATGTCAAGCAGCAAAAGTATTGTGAAGGAAGGGGCAGTGTGATAAGTTCACATGGCTTCTTCTGTTCTAAAATAGAATGGTGTTCCCTGAGAGATAAATGCATTATTCAGAAGCCATTTCAGGTCTTGGCCAAGGCTGGACTTGCGGATGCAGATAGAAGTCTGCACGCAGAAGTAACCATTTCACTGTTAGTTATTTGCAGAACACATTAATGGCAGTTAGGGAAGATTTTCAGCATAGCTAATTTCAGTGGCACTTTTTGAAAAGGAGTTGTGTGAGTGATCATTTACCTGAGCCTTTTCAGTGAGGGTATGGGAAGATACTGAAGTAAAAGGGAGAAAAAAATGTTTTTCTTCCCTGCATATTGTCCTGGAGTGACAGGACACTATTCAGAGGTTCTCTCCCAAATTTGCCCTAAACCTGGACAAATGTAGAGAAGGGAAAAGAAAACTGAAATTGGAGACTGAATCTGAAAATACCAATGCTCTATGCTACCTCTTCATTTGGTTTTCAGGCATAAAATAAACTGAGATGCAGACCTTGAGATGCAATTGAAATAGAAAATCATTGTAGCTTACAGTGGTAACCTTAATTGTAGAAAATAGAATATATGAAGAGAAGATGTAAAGCAGATGGAGAGCGATGTTCAGTGGGGAGGTCAAATTTCTGCAGATACCAACATTTTAGGGTTGTTAGTATTTAATACACATGTTAAGAAAATAGCTGAGTGCTAGAACTTGTATACATTATAAGGAAAAATATTTTGCACACTGTGTAAAATCCACGATGTTGAAAGTTTAGTTCAGTCTTCTGAACTGTACAGCTCTTGTTTCTTCTAGATATTTCGCACCTTATCTCAAGTTTTCTTCATCTTGTTTACTGAATTTTCAGTCTGCTTGCTCAGGAGATTCTTAAGCCAGAGCAAGCAGACTAAAAATTCTGTAAACAAACTGAAGAAAATGCAAGATAAGGGCTAGTGTGTTCAAAAAGAAAGAAGAGCTGCAAATACCTTGGCAAGGAATTAACTCTTCACAATATCTACATACATGCACAATATGCTATGTGTGCTTTCATCACATGCATTAGGCAGATTTTATGCCAAGTGGCAGGTGTGGTTTGTCCTACATACCATGCATAGCAGTGCATCAGTCACTCACTGTTTCCCATTTAATTAAATAGGAAAGACATAAGTAAACTGCTGACAAAGACACAATATCACAGACAGGCTTGGTGGCCTGCCACTGTACTTAATTAATTTAAAAATAATACAACTAGCTGAGAAGAGAGAGCAAAATCTCTGTAATTTTGAACCCATTTATTCTCAAGTATGTACAGATGTAATAATATCCTCATAAAATCAGATTAAGGAAATACAGATAGAGTTGTAGAGGAATACATTTTAAATGTTCTGTTACTGTTCTTTTAGAAGGTTCATTCACTGAAAATGGCTTTTGTGAGGTCTTAAGGAATAAAAAGCTCCCTCATGCTCTGCTTTCAATTCTCTCTTCATCTGTTAAAACAAGCCAAGGAATGGTTTAATTTACTGTTGATCACTGGGGAGAGAAAAAAGGAATGCAAAATTTAAATGGCATTCACACACAAAGTTAATAGCTTTTATCACTCTCAGAAGGCACGTGTAGGGGAAGCATTACTTCATATAATATACAACCTGGTTTCAGCGTTATTGTCTTTAATAGTTAAAGCACTGCTGCAAACGTGCATGGACTTAAGACATAGAGTTGTCTTAACAAAGCAATAGCAGTGGGTCTTACAGTGTACTGGATTTTAC